ATTTTTATTTTATCAGTTATATTTTATAGTAAAATATATAATATAATATATTTTTTATAATCTTTTATGTTTTATATATAAAACTATATATATAATTTTAATTATTTAAATTAATATTTTATATAATTTAAGTAAATTTAATTTTTTGGTAAGTAATAATAGTTAATTAATTATACTATTATATATCATTCTATACTTATAAATCAAAAGAGTACAGACAAACTGTTTTTAATTAAAAATTATGAAACATAGTAAAATATATAATAACTTTAATATGTAATAATGAAAATTATATTGAAAAAATACTGCAAAAATTCAATCATTGACTAACCAAGGCTTCTACTTGTAATGCGTTATGGATAAATGGACTTGTTACATTTATCAAATTATGCAAGTTACGATATTGTTTGTCGATTTGTTTTCTTTAAAACAAAAGAATGAATTAAACAACTTTAAATTGTGTTATATATCTTTTGGTCAGCCCACGGTATGTAAAACTCTTGTATATCAACAAAATAATATAAACAACTGTTCAATGTTTGAAAAATTAATCCAAAAAGCAATAATATTTGAGTGATTTCATTTAACTATATTTTAAAAAAAGTATAGTTAATAACAAATTTTATTTTAATAAATTAAATTATTATTTCATCTTTATTAAACAATTTCGAATATTTTATAATATTATAAATTATAATTAATAGTTTAATTTTATATGGTATAAATATTATATTAATAAACCATTGATTTGTATACTATACATTTTAATATTTTATAGTTTAAATGTTAACTGTCGTTTTAAGCAGAAAAACGACCGCGGCAAAAAGTCGCCATCTGTAAAGAAAAGGTTTTGGAGATCGTAAAAACAAACAATACTATGAATTTTACTAAAACTACTTTATTTTTGGCATAAAAACAAAGAAAATATACCCCTTTTCATTTTAAAATGCATTTTTGGGACAAGTTCCAAATTTTTCCCTGTTCCGTGATAGACTCTGTTTCAAATCAAAAAGAAGTTCAACAAAGCAACTTAGCGCAAAACTGACAAAAACCCACTTTAACCACTTGTTTAAAATTAAAAATAAAACTTATTACCAGATAGATATTTTTCAATGATTCCATTAATTCTTTAATAATTTGAAAGTGATTATTGGTATAAACAACATGAGTTTTATAATTGTGTAAATATTAACCATCTCAATATGTTTTTATTTATGAATACTCCACTGCCTCCACATTTCATTGTATTGAATTCTTCAAGAAATTGTTTATTACCATTTGTGGATGGTTATAAATACATTCCAACTGATTCGAAAAGAATCGTTTTTAAATGTGCAATTTCTGGCTGTCGTAAAAGAATTAAAGTTGAGTATCAAGGTAGTGCAATGGTAAACGCCACAGAAACTGGATGTATGAAAGTTTTGCCGCACGA